ATCGTAAAACAAAAATCGCTAAAAATTGGGAATCTTGTTTATATCTCCTAGAAAATTTTTAAAGTAAATTTGAAATAAATATTAATAGATGCTAGGGAAATAAACACTTGTATTTAAATTGAGATTTTAAAAAATTGCTAAAAATGGAGGAAATATCATCCATATTCCCAATTTTATTCTTATATTTTTAGCATTTTTTTTGAAAAACTCAATTAAATAGAAGTGCGTATTTCCCTAATATCGATTAATATTAATTTTAAATTTACTTTAAAAATTTTCTAGGAGATATAAGCAAAATTTCCAATTTTTAACGAGTTTTAGCGATTTACAACGGGAACCGATATTTTACACACACTGTAATTTATTTTCGGCAAATTCAGTTTTTCAAATTTAAAAACGTGCTCACAATTATTTTACATTTTTCACCTTATAATAATTTATTTTTTGGGGGTTTTTTTTAAATGTAAAAAAATCTGATTTTTTTATATATATCAGAATCTTTTAATTTTTTTAAATAAACCAGGCCGGGCCTGAAAATTTTTTCTAAAAAAAATATCCGGGGCGGTTCGGGCATATATTTTAAAACCAAATATTTGAAATTATTCATTAATAGCTATAAAAATCAAAAAATAATTATTTTAAAAAATATCCGGGCCAGGCCTGAAAATTTTTTTTAAAAAAAAGCCGGCCCCGTGCCTGAAAATATAAAACCTGGACCGGGCCGGGCCAAAAAATATTTTTAAAAAAAATATCCGGGCAGGGCCGTACAAATGGTGCCTCTGCAGGTCTCTGATAAATATATTCTATTTCAGTAGATATAAAATACATACCCTATAAATTTCAGACATTAAAATATATTACACATGTCTGGTTATGTGCATTGCCAATAATATATATATACCTCATCTTTTGGAAATATAGAGGAGGTAAGAGTCAACGTATATATAATGTGGTAATAAAAAGGGATAAAGGATATGCCCACAAATCCAAGAAGAATCTATCGATGTTCCTTGAATAAAACTGCGGGATTAGTCTTTTCGGGGGTATATAAAAATAGTAAATGAATATCACCGGATACTATATAGCTATTAGGAGATCTTGCTGAATATGTTGTATTCTTTTTGAAAGAAAAGAGTATTGATTTACAACATTCCTTACAAAATCATTTTGTTTATTAAGGCTATATCTTTAGTTGTAATTAGTGATCTACATCGGGCCTAATTTTTCAAACCGGGCTCGGCCCTTTAAAAAAATTTGTTCAATCCGGCCCGATCTCAAACTAAATTTTTTTAATTTGTCCCGAAAAGCCCGATCTGAAATAAAAATAAAATTTAATTGTCCGCCTGGCCCGGTTCAAATTTATTTAAATATAGAAAAATTTAATTTAATTTTTTAAAATATTCTACAAATAAAAAATATTAGCGCCTTGTTTTTGTAAGAATTAAAAAATATATCAATTTATTTGACAAATGTAATGATGTCATATTTAAAAATTTAAGGCCGACCTGAATTTTTTTAAAAAAATCCGAAATTATTTTTTTTAAAATAGACATGGCTTTTTATAAAATATTTAAAATTGAATATATTAATTGGTCGATAACTATGTTATCCTCTATTCCAAGAAAATTGGAGATATAGACGCGTGTCATAAGGTTGGGAGTCCATAATTTTAAATTTTCCCAAGGTACCGTGCTAAACTAATTGAAGTATGGCGTGGGATTATTTCGATAACAGTTAATAAGATTTTTTTACTAATATCATAATGATTCTGATTCAATTTCAAGGATTCATTACTATCTACCCCCCCCCCCCTCCCCCCTCAATAAGCTCATGTCGCGGAGACCTCTTATTTCTGATGGGTGACTTGATGACATATTTTAAAAAATAGTCATTTAAAGACTTCAGTTTAAAAATAATTTTCCAATTAATATTCAAATATGATAATATATTTGTTTAATATAGAATAGTATAAATAATTTTTATAATCATAATATAACATTATCAACTGCATACGAAAGGATAGCATAATATAATATATTGCTTTAATGATATTTATAATGATATTTTATTAAATAGCATTATATCATTAAAGTTTATTTGTAAAAAATTGAATAAAAGATATAATGGTAATTAAAATCCATTCTCTTTATTGAAAATTTAACGGTTTTATAAGTCATTTATAGTAAAACAAAACGGTGGAATTTAGCTAGTTTTCTATGATAGACAATTACATGGAAATAGATATTCGCATATATTTTTTGTAAGGAAAATAAAAAAATATAACGCCTAACACATCTGGAATAACCAAAAAAAATTTAAATCGCACCCCTTACCAATTGACTTTATAAATTCCTTTTTATTGGAAAAACATTAAAGGGGATGGGTATTGAAGGAGGAAAAATTTTGCTGTTTTAAAGTCGATATTTAATAATGTATCAATTATAAGGACTGGTTTTGATTTATTATTTTTAGAGTTGAACCAGTATTTTTTTCCTATTTCAACTATTCAGACTGAACATATGATATGATCTTGAATAGTTTCTTCTGCACCTTTAAAGTTGTTGATATAGTTTCATTAGCATGGAATCATTCTAGCCTTCTTAAATGCTGAGATTTATAACTATGCGCCTTGATATTTCCTTCCCACAAACGAAGACAACCTAAATAAATTAACAAATATTTTTTATAGTTATAATCCAAATATTACAAACTATATTATTTTTAAAAAACGTTACATAATGCAACGCAAATTTTTATAACTAATTTTTAGTCATGGAAAATCGTGAAATATAAAAATCATGAAATCCCTAAAAAAAAATTTTTAATTTACTACCCGCAGAAACAATTAATTTGTTTTCGAAATTTTACGTTATCTCATTATCCGATTATTTTCTAAAATTTCTCACTATCACCACTCGGAAAGTTTATAAACAGATGCATTTCTCTAGTACAAATAAAGGCCTAAAATTTTCTAAAATAAAATATGGCCGGAACCCGGACCTTAAAAATATATGAAGAATTCTATAAAAATACAAAATAAAACGATCATTCGTATTTCACACTGATTAGGACAAATCAATTAATGATTTTTTATTTAATATAAATTTTTGAAAATACATAAAAAATTTGGGGTGGGCAGTTCGGGATTAGCAAAAAAATTATCCAGGGCTCATAAGCCTATTTCAATAAATTTTTATTCCGTTTGTATAATATAAGAAACTTTTAAAATATAATTTTATTGATTTCTTGAAACGAAAAAGAAAATGATTATAATTCAAATATTTAAAAAAAATTTTTTCTACTAATATAAAAAAATTTTCTATATCATATCAGCCCTGCCCTTTACTTAATTAATAAATTATGGATAATTTAATTTCCGGCTTTATAATTTTCTATAACGGAATCTAAAATTCAACGGATTTTTTTAAATTTATATTTTTCAATGGCGTCATGAATTTTTTTTTAAAAATATTTATTTACTCATTTATTTATTAAGAGAGGTAGGGTAGGGAGAGGGGGTGGGGAAGGGTGGTGATTTTTGTTACTTTCTAATGTTATCAGGGTTTATTATTCAACCCAAAACTAAAAATTTTAAATTTAGCATGTTAAAAGTTGATCAAGAATCTCACAAAAATAAAATTTAGGCTACATATTTCTGAAAAATACATTCTTGGTTAAAATATAGAGTTCACCATTTTTAAAAATCGGCATAAATCGAGCTGTTTACAATACTATTTATGACTAAACAAAGTTAAAGTCTTAATAATTAATTTTTTAATTGTTCTGCCTCAGAGGAGATATGAGAAATATTATTCTTTTATTATTAAATATAAACTTGATAATTTACTTATTTTTGCTATATTAAGTTTAAATAAAGTTATAATTTATAAAAAGTAAATGCCCCCATTGATAGTAAATGATTTTATAAATAATTTGATTCATAAAAATAGTCTACATAAAGCATATGTAGATTTTTCAAGGAAAGCGGAAATTCAAATTTTGGGAATATTTTTTAAAAAAAATAGTTGTAATAAACACTAGGCAAGTAAAATAATTACAACTTTGCCGAGTGTCTGGCCTAGTATGAATGAAAATGGTAAAATTAAGATCTGTCCAAATGACCTCGAGAGAATGTCTGTTCATGTCGGACAAGGGGCTCAAATTTATAATGAAATTAGATAATTAATATATTATTTTTTCTTGTTTTTATCATAAACCCATAATTTTGTATAATTATTATATTTTATCTATATTTATTTCAATCATTTACTGATAGGTGAGGCAAAAGATGAGCAATATGCATAGGATTACAACTTGACCTAAAGTTTTGCACAAAGTAAAATGTGGAAGAAATAGATACGTGCAAGCGGAATACATAAATTGTTTATTAAACTTCGCAAATAATGCTCGATTCACCCGAAAAGTTATTAATAACAATTATGTTAGTATTTTTTTTGATGGAAGACGTTTCGAATCACAAAATATATGACACATTTGTAATCACACCTAAGAACATCCTAAAGACTCAAAAATTAACCTCAACATCTCAAAATCCCGATGATTATTTTCATGTCGATAAAATAAGAATGATCAATAAAACTAAAACTCTTCGAATCAATAAAAGATTCTTCGAAATTAGAAAAAAACGCTCAATACACAGTGATACTTTTCAGAGTTTCGGCTCAGACAGAATTTTGGCACCCGATTTGCATTTAATAGAGGCCATGTTTTTATCTGGAGCCTACCTCAAAGCTATGACAATATATTCTGATTATTTAGCTCGTTCCCGGCGACAACATTCAGCAAACTGCACATCCTTATCCGTTCTTAAATATCAAAATTTAAGGAAACAGTTGAAACTATCCATCCTCGACAATATAATTATTTCTAATCGTTACGTCGATAATAAAAGATTTTATGATTTAAGCCTCTACGCCGATTTTTATCCATCTGCAAAAATTACAATAACCGCCAGTCATATCATAAGCGATTATATCCTTCAAAGCATACATGGTAATTTTTCTACACACAAATCAAATACCGGCAAGATAATTGATTTGAGATCTCGTGAAGAAAATAGACGAGTATTTAATTCCATTATCAGAGGAATAGTTGCCAGCGATGACGCCATATTCGGTTGCACATTAGCTTTTCCTGGTGGAGATCTCCCGTTGATTAATCGTATGAATAATCTAACCTCAAATATCGATAGTCTTAAACAAGTCTCGATGACAAATTGGGCTCCAGCAGCTTTTAAAAAAAGGAAAAGAGTAAATAATGGTAAACCCAATCACGCTATAATATCTCTGGATTTGGCTAAATATTACGATTTCACATCTCGAGGTATAGGCAGAGCCGAATGGTTTTGGTCTTGGTTTGGCGAGGATATACCCAGCGATAGAATATTCGAACAATCAGACTCTCTCAAAATCAAACGGGAAAATAGAGCATCTGATACCCTCAACAGACACGTTAAAAAATACAAACTTAAAAAAATTAAACACGCTAAGGGACTTAGCCTTCCACCTAAATCAAACTACAATGAGGTGATTCACACATCTCATGATAACAATCTTTATCATAATCAAAATCGCAGAAGGCATTCAATCAAATCTCACGTTGATCACATATCCCCTACACTAAAAAATGACAATATGGACATCGATTCTCACTGGGAATATCATTATAAAGGCTTCCAATCATTGGACGGAGCATTCGAACCTGATTTAGACAACGTTTCTGAAAATCATAATTACTTTGACAATCATATACAAAGTCATATCCCCGGAGATGATGAATATTCGAATATATTAGATCAAAAAAATTTGCTAGTCCCAGGTTTCAGACAGATCAACCTTGAAACCCCGAATAACCATCTAAAACGCGATCAAACTACAGCATTGCGCAAGGATAAATTTAATGATGAAACTAGGAACAAATATCATCTGGGTGAAGGTAGGTGGAGCCACCCATTTATCGATTGCAAGTTGGGAAAGATATGGCTTGTAGCTTACAGTGTTCCTATATATCTACCTGATATGCAATCGAAGTCGGAGGATAATCAATATTATGTTAGGGGTGTTTCTTCTTTTCTATCCTTTCTAAACGCGAAAAAGATCAAAGAGATGCCATATCTATGGTTGCCTAATGGTGTACAACAGACAGGAACTCTGGTGTAAGTATTTATTTGAAGTTTTTTTAGTCATATAGACTCCTTCTTTTTCAAAATCATGACATATTTTAAAGGGGCATATGTTTTTATGTTTTTAAAAAAGTCATATGATTTTCAAAAAGAACATCCTATCTATCACTTAAAAAAAGCGATATTAACAATTCAATATGATTTTTTTAATAAAAAAATCACTATTTTATGCAAAGTTATAATTAAATTTTTCAAATATATACATTTATTATATTGGTAAAAGTCACTTAAAACTTTTATATATATATATTTTTTTTTTAAAGTTCTATCCTATTTTATTTATCTCTAGCAGTTAATTTAATATAGAAGTTACCGAACTGTTTAAATTAACTCAAACTATTAAGGGCATCATGTCAATATTTTTAAACAAAACTTTAAATTGAAATGTATCAATCTTAATCAAGAAAAAAATTTAAAATTAAAATTGATAGTAGATATTCAAAAAATGGAAAAATCAAGTGTCAACAGATTGTATATTTTTAATTTTCGTTTCCATGTGTAAACTAGAAATGTTGGATTTGGTGCTCTCATATAAAATTTAAAATTCTCAGCATTTTTTGGTTTCTTCATTTTGGACATTAGTAAAAGCTGTCATTTTATCCATTGAAATTTTTAGCTTTTATCATTTAGGCATGATAAAAGTCGAATTTTAATGTATAAAATTTTTTTTTGCTAGGATAGAAAATATTTTTAGATGATACTCAAATTAGATTTAGGAACTCGTCGCCTTTGTTTCTTTGCACAGAAAAGTCAATTATATATGTTTAATTTGCTAGACACCGTCAAAAAATAATTGGAGAAGGAATTAATCTGATGATTAATGTTGATATACTAAAAATTTTATTTCATATTTTTTTAAAATTCATTATTCGGCCAAATTAATAATTTTATATTTGCAAAATCCCAGCAAATAATTATTGATTTCAAGCTTGAAAAAAGACATTAGTATTTTTGTTAAAAGTAGAATTCTCAGATTTTTTGAAATATACAAAATTGCTCTTATATTAAAAATGATCAAATAATATAGGGAAAATTCTAAGGCATCTTGTGAAACAAGCTTATAGCTAGAGAAATAAATATAAACATATATTATTTGTATAGATATGATTGTGAAATCTGGATTGACCATATAGAGAAAAAAAAATATAAGTATTATTTATAGGAAGATTACTAAATGGTTATAAATACAACCTAAAAAAAGGAGTGTCATTTCTAAATCTAAATTAACAAAAATATATTAAGGATATTATATAAAATTGATAGAAGGGTTCTATCACAAATAACCTATGTTTCTATTTTAAATAAATTTAGAGTATTTACTGATAATTTTATTTTATCTCTCTTATTAAATTTCATATAATAATATAATTAAATCTAAGTAAATACCCCAGAAGCAAAAGGGATCAGTTCATAGAAAATTTAAAGAGTATTTTTATTTTTACCCTCGCCCATTTTCTTAGGCTGTTTAAAACCCTAAGAAAAGAAATCCCAAATTATTAACGGAAAACGGATCCAAATAAAAATCAGTGTTTAAAAAAGGAAATCACAAAAAAAGTCAACGCACCAGAACCAATTGGTAGCTCCAGTCTCATTTTGGCTCCTATCCTGTTTATACTGGCCACGGCCAATCACATTTTAAAACATTTAAACTCCTGATTGGGAATCGAAATATCTTGCTACTAATAACCAGAATCTTCTTGACCCTGATTTATTTACGATTAATAAAATGTGTTTAAGGATCAACAAAATAAATATATAAACCAATCAATACAATCAAAAAATGCTTCAAAATCGTAACTTCAAAAAAATTATAAAAGTGACATTTTTTTTATATAAAATTTTGGTTTTGTGGTAAATCTTATACTGTATGTTTTAGTTATTATTAACGATTTTTTTTAATATCATTTTTGTTTTATCATTTATACAGTAAAATTTAAAAATATTTTATGGTCATCAAGGCCAAAAAACAAGTTTTTTCTTGTGGATATGTTTTTTAAAAGTATTATAATAATGAGGATTCGGTTCAACCTAAAAAAAATAGTAAAATTTTTGAAACGTATAAATTATTATTTGTTTTGTCAATCAATCACTAATAAAAGAAATCTATATTATGATATTTCATATACTTTTTTTTATATATCCTTTCAGATATTAAGGAACTTAGTAAATTATCTTAAATGCATTTTTATTTGAAATTAGTATTTATAGTAAGTTTGGAAAAAAATGTATACGAGAAAGGGAGGAGGCTTGTATTCTAACCACTAACCTTATTGTAAAAGTTGTTTTAGTGGCGTTTGGATCTAAATAATATTTAAATTCCGCATAAGTTTAAAATAACAACTACAACCATCCTACCACTTAAACTACACATAGACCAATAAAACTGTAAATAAAATTTAAAATAAATAATTAGTTTATTGAAAAATATATGAAAATTTAAATATATCTGTCTCTAGATGATCTTACTCCGGATAGGTTGATCGGAATCAGGATCCCTCATTTAAATATCCCAAAATATTTTTATTATGGAGAACTTTTTAATTTAATTTTTGAAATTGCTATTTTTATTTTTATAAAGTTATTTCATGTTTACTAAAAGAATCTAAGGAAATTTAGAATACCTACTTTTCGGGTAAAATCGTTAAATTTAAAAAACGCTTTAAAAATTAGCACAATCATTTGTTGAACGCGTTTTTCAAATTTTAAAATCTAATTTTTGCCGAAGAATGTATAAGTAGATTATACCTAATAAATTTAAGATAATTTGATCATGGATCTTTGAGTCGTTTTTAATTTATATATTAACTGGCAATGAATTTATTTAACTTTAGATATTAATCAGGCAATACGGGGATTGACTAAGATATCCTTCGGGAAAAACACTTATTACCTTTTTACCCACATTGCTATTAATAGGGTTGGGCAAGTTACTCGAAAGAATTAACGGTTACGTTACCGCTATTTTGAACATGTAAAGGTTATAAAAACACGTTATTACATAGAGAATAAATCAATCAAAAAATGTGATAAAGAATTAAATTTATTCATTTCTTGTAGCGTCTAAAATATAAAAAAAAATAGAGTATTTAAACATAAACTAGTTTAGTCATATTTGTCTAATTTAAAATTAGAAAACAAAGATAATTATTTTAAAGATCTCCAAATGTGGAAATAAAAAAATTTATTTTTACCGGTTGTTGTAAACTAATTTAATGTGTAATAAAGTCAAATTCAAAGTGACAATGATTTTAAATGAAACTTTAGATAATCTGTAGTATTAAATTTTTCTTCTTCCCCTATTAAAAATTTCCCCTAGAACTCACTACAAAATCAATAATTCTTGAAGAAGAAAATATATACGAATCTAATCTAATAATTAAAATAACACTCATTTAATAAAAATTTAGATGGTCTTATTAATTTTAAATAATAAAATTAAATCTATATATTACTTATAATAGAATTGTAAAAGAAATCGTTCAGGGGGCTATCAACTATCGAGTCTTCCTTTCTTAAATGCATTTTCAATAGTTGCTAGGGTTTAAAAAAATAAAAAACAAAATCATTTAAATACATACCACAACGAAAAGATCTGAAGATGAAGAAATTCTAGAGAAGTGAATAGACGCTTTCTAATGGATACCTTGCTTTCAGTTAACATCAGACATTCCATTTTAAATATTTAAAAAATATTTTTTTGTTCAAAATTATTATAAAAAATTATTCAAATAACGAAAAACATACGTTACATTACACAAATAAACATACACTATCAGAATGAGAGAATTACAAGAGCATTACCTTATGTAATGCTTTGTTAAGTTAAACTATCTGTAATTTTTCACCCAACCCTTGGCCTGTAGCATCCGCCGATATGTTACATTTTTGAAGAAAACATTTTTTTTAATGGCCATATGTAATAATATTGTTCTCGCTAGAATTCATTACAGCCGATCGGTATATTATGGTAAAGATCAATTGTTATAATCTTGATTTTAATTTGTTGGCCACTATATTTTTTTTAAATAGAAAGAATATATTTTTTTAAGATAAAATATAACGTTTATACATCATTAATTTTTCTTACTTTTAATTACGACGTTTATGTTTAATTATTTTTTTTCTATGTCTACTTGGTAATTGAGTTTTATATTCAAAAAACCCCTAATTATTCACTTTAACATATGTTTTTTTTGTAATAAAATAACGTTCTATCACTTTTTGGCTCAATGTTTTAAATGATAGTTTTTCCATTATGTTTTTAATTAAAAGATATTTCTGAGATGATTATTTAGAAAATTAAACAGGAAGTTTTATCGATTTAAAAGATATGAAAGCAAATTTTAAGCTGGATATCAATATAAATGTATTATGAAAACATAAAATACCTATTCATATTTACCAGAGTTATTAAAAGATAGTTAATGGATCTAGATACAGGTATATCATATAGAAACGTATCAAGATACAGATATAATTTATACTTTATACAAGGTATACTTTTGTTCTTGAACAGAAACTCTTATTATGAGAGCACAAAATATGTAAACAATATTTTTATATTTTGTTGTCATTCAAGTCGAACACCAAATAAAATAATAAGAATAAAATGTCAAAACCCCTATTTTTTTTCGTTCTTTCAAACAAATTCTCATTATAAACGAGCATTATTTAAAAAATTTTTTTTACATTAAACTTATAATTTATTTATTAAAAGTCAGGGGATTATCTATAAAATTATTTTAAGAAATTCTAAATAAATTTATTTGCTTAAAATAATCTTGTGCATCAATGGTATTGTTTTTTATCATTAATGGGCGCGATATTCCTATACATGATAAATATATCCTTCACAATTTTGAGCTGATATCTATAGATTTAAATGGGGGGAGAAGGGGGGGGATAATAATATTTAATGAATATTTATATATTTTTTAATAAGTTTTACTATTTTTTTTATATATTTAATTAAA